ATAATTTCTTCTTTTCCTATCTTTATTCCTTTTATGTCTTTATCTTGTCTAATTGCTCTGGCTAAAGTTTCCAGGACTATGTTGAATAAGAGTGGACATCCTTGCCTTGTTCCTGATTTTAGAGTGAAAGCTTTCAGTTTTTATCCATTTAGTATGATGCTGGCTGTTGGTTTCTCATAGATGGTTTTTATCAGACTGAGATTTTCCCTGCTTTGGAAGTTTTCTGCACTTAGTTTTGTGAACAAGTTTTTCTAAAAAATGTAATTTGCATTACTCTTGCTTTTCACTCTCTCCCATCATCTGGCAGCTGTTGGATTGACTTTTGTGGTCCCTTGCTACTTTAAAGAAATTTTTTTCCTCAAGATTACTAACTACAAAAATGTCTTGTAGATCTGATAGTCTGTCCTCATATTGGTTCATTTTGCTGCATAGACTCTCAATAGAATTTTTAATCTCATGGATATCCTACTAAATCTTTTTCACAGATTCTATTTCTGTCCTATATTGGGCATTCATGGTTTCTATCATTTTCCTAAGCTCTTCTACATTTTGTTATCTGTATGTTTTTTAATTCACTAATTAGGCCTTTTATTATGGTCATCATCTCTGAAGTTACTGAGAAATTATTTATTTGATTGTTTTCAGAGCCTCATTCATGTGACTTCTGCTGTGACGCCTTCAGAGAAGCCAGGTAGGTAACTTTCAAATTATTCTACCTTACTGCCCTCTGGGTTTGCCTTTGGAAGTCTCATGCCTTCTCATTTTAATATAGATATGTATCTTTTATTTAATTCAGGCACTAGTGCTCGTAAATTGTTTATGGTAGGTATCTTTATTGCTATTACTGAGAACTCATTTCTCACTATTTCTCAGACATGTCTTACAGATGTAGCTGGCATTTGGGTTTTCAGTCTGTTTTGCAAGGTTCTACCTTTTCAGCTTATTGGAGACAAGACACTGTTGAATATCTGGCCCAGCCCCTGCTTCTTTGGCACTGGCCTATAGTACTGTTTGTGACCTTCAGGCAAATTCAGTCTTGGCACATAAGGAAGAACAACTGACTAAACTATTATTTGGCTAAAGTAGTACAATCAGTAATAACAGCATTGAACACACCCTAGATATTTTTCTTAGTGGAGTATAAAACCAAACACTATTTCTCTGTATACAGGTGGAGAGTTCAGTAGAGAACAGTTACGAAAAATTAAATACTGAGAAAAATTTTTTTGAACTGAGGAAATGTGATACAGTAGATTCTGGTGTTTTGTCAGAGTGTTTATTTTTTTCTCTTTGAAATTCTGTATGTAAGGAGGAGGAGGGAAGGGAAAGAGGGGACACTCTTCAGCCTAATATTTGCAACAGTTTTGTGTTATAAAAAGGTCCAACGGCATAACCAATAGATAGTTCTTATTAGATTAAGCAGATGGATATCTGCCATTTATGTCACCATAGCAGGAACCAAGTGTCTCTCAACATGGAAGAATGGAGGGGCAGTTTTCATTTTTTAAATGCTGGGCACTCCATTGTAAATCACTCCCCATTGAACCGTGGCCACTCTGATTACCATTTCTTGGCAATGACAATCTTCATTGTGAGTCAAACAGAAAATCTAGCAAGTGTGGCCCCAGAGCTAAGATTTTTGACACAAAAATTTTCTAATTTATACTTTTTAGGGCACCATTACCTACGAGACGTTTCTCAGGTTTCTTACAACATTTTGTGAAATTAAGATTTCATCAAAATTAACTATATTTTCTTTTTTCAATATCAATTTCTTTGAAGTTTTGAGTTGTGAATCCTGAAGATGTGGGTGCAGTAATGCATATTTTCTTAAATGTCTGAGCATGGGAGTATAAGCAGAAATATTTATTAATACCTCACATGCCCATAAAAGTCGTACAGAATAGAATGTGGAGGAAAGATATGACAAATGGTTGAGAAAAAAGTTAACATTAACTGTGTCATTACAGAACATACAAAAAAGGTGCAAAAATATATTAGATATTTTTGTTCATTTTTCACCGAATTAGCCACGAGAACTGAACTGGTCATCTTGACCTCTTATACATGTCAGAAACTCTTTGCAAAGTTTTAAAGAATTACAGTGTGTTGTTCAGGGAATAAAGCATATGAGTGAGCTCCTCATAATGACATCACACATTAACCTCTTTGCTAATTTCAAAGCTGCTATGAGACCAGCACATCTTTTCTCCTGTAGGACTGCTGGGTCCACCCTTTTGAAGGTGGAGACATGGGAGTGCCTTTCACAAGCCAGACCTTTCACTGCACTCTGCCTTAGAGTCATTCCTAGGCTAGCACATGGCAGAGAGATTATAGGAGGCTACTTCCCTGCAGACTGAAGAAGTATAAGGTCAAGAAGCTAAGGGGGTGGGGGCCATCTGAGATCCAGAGCAAACAGTTTATAAAGTCTTACATTAGTCTTTGCAATTCTGTCTGGAATCTGATTACTGCTAGTTATGGTCTGTCTTGCTCTATTAGGCAGGTGCTTCTACGGAAGCGGTTGAGTTGTGCTATCTGTTCACACTCAGCACAGACTCCTGCCCTGATACTCAGCAGGAAGGGTTGCTGCTGTTCCTGAATTTCATGCCCTAGATTGGGTTGCTCCACTCTCCCTTTATACCTTGGTAAAGAGGATACTTCCTGCACATAAAAGTGAAGCTAAGATACAATGTATATGCTTGTTTAGTTAGACACATCATAGCCTTATGCACTGGCAGCTAGAAATTCAATTACAAAGTGAAAAAATCATAAAACTGCTTTCTTGTGACTAATTCTTAAGTAGGATCACAAGTTAATAGATCAGTGGCTAAAAAGCTGCACCTAACTCTTCCATGAGATTCTTCCTTTCAACAAAGGATTCAATCTAAGTAAATTACGTATCTTTGCTTGTCTTTTATTATCTTTGCCTGAGGGACAACCTGTTGTCACTTTCGTTTTGAATTTAAAAACTCACAGTTTGTAAGCATTACTTTTTCTCAGTTAACTCTTTTGCTCTGGAGACCACTGACCCTTGCTTTAAGGTCACTCTGGGTGGAGAGGTTTCAATTGCTTCCAATTTCCAGTGTGTCCTCAAGCCCAGTCCACGAGCTCATTCAGATGATCCCCAACTGCCCAGTCCTGAGACGGCTCCAAATAGCTCTTGTGCATTTACTTCTACATAAGGTGGCTCCCTCATGACTCAGCTGAGTTGCTCTTTTGAATTTCACTTTATAGTTTTCTATTAGGAAGCAGCTGGTCCCCAGCTGTGTGCTGCCTTCCACCTCTTCTGAAGTTGGGGCTCCCTTTCATGAGGGCCAGGCATTTCTAACTTGTTCATCTCCCTGCATTTTCTGGTTCATATAATCTGCCCTAAGAAACTGCTCTCCTCCCAGACATGGCCTGGCCCAGCAACCCTCTCTTGACCATGTCCCGGACACTTTCTGCTCTGAGGGACGTTAGATGCCAGCTGAGCCCTGAACCTGGGAAATGATAGCAACTTCCTTGTTTTCAACAGGGGCCCATGTCATATGGGACTTGGTCTTAAGTTCTCTAAATGGTCAAGGACTTTCTCTTCAGATAATTCATCTGTTAAAATGGTCAGCAGCCACTATTTTGCTTCAAAGTTCATCTTGGTTGGAAAGCCCTTCATATCGGTTCATATAGGCCAAAATCCTAAATTTGGAGACCAGGAAGGAACTTTTATCTTGGTAGAGAGATCTGAGTTAGTTCTCAAGTAAATGGGGCGATTGTCTACCAAGATATTTTATGGAATGTTTGACATCAGTTGTGTGGTTCTTTCTGCTTCTCTCTCTCATTCTTTTTAAAATCCAAACTAAAAAGCAAAACAAACAAACAAACAAACAAAAAAACCAGTAGGCATGGTGGTGCATGCCTGTGATCCCAGCACTTGGGAGACTGAGGCAGGAGGATTGCTGTGAGATCAAGGCCGGCCTGGGCTACACAGTGAGTTTGCAGCCAATTGAACTACATAGCAAGATCCTGTCTTAAGACAGATAAACAAACAAAAAAAGCAAGCCAGCACTGAGACTGATTAGATGCCTGAGCAGCCAGACACTACAGTTAAAGCCGGATGACAGGATATAAATCAGCTTTTCAACTCTGCTGAAGGACCAGCATTAGAATTTTTTTTCAGTTGACTGTGGATTAATATTTTCCAAAAATACAAAATGGATTGCTTAAAAACTCAGACATAAAACACAAGCATAAATTTTTGGATTTAAATAAAAATACTCTGTCAAATTGGTATAAAAAATTTCTAAATACTCTCAATTACTGGTTTTATCCAATCATGAATCAACTAAATAGCGCACAGATGGGTACAGAACATGCTCTGTAATTTGAGTAGTGCTGATGAAGAGAAGTGCCTTATATGGAAATGGTTCACACTTATATTTCAGCCAATTTTCTTTGACAGTACACAGTGCTTCTGGCCTCTTCTCTAATCATCCTACTTTGCTGTAAATAATAACTGACATCTACCAGTTTTGCCATGAACATACTGCCTTCTTCCGTCCCACACCAGCTCACAACCATGAAGTGAATGGTCATCGCTTCTATTTTGTACTTATGTCCTCTCACTGCAGGTTCTACATAAAAGCACCAGCTGTCCTGGCCACTGTTGCCTGAAGAACCTTGTTGGGCTCCCAAATGCCTGTAGATAACATGCATGTTACATATAGTGCATATTATATAACATAGTATATGTAACATACATAACACTAAAATAATATAATAGACTTTAATACATAATTGTATTTTATATATAGGTACTTAAAAAATTTATATAATATACAAAATGCATTGTATGTATGTATGTATTATATATAATATGCATTAGAATATCTAACACAAAGCAAAACATTACAATTACAGATAAACTTATGTAATTATATCTGTGTAACATATACACCTTTGAACCGAAAATAAATATGTGATGTAAAATGTACATGACTGAGAGTAGTGGTGTTTGTGCCACTCACCAGTGTCGTTGGGGTACTTGTCACCCCTGGTGCATGTTGTCCCATCCTCTGTGAGGATGTAGCCCTCCCGGCACTCACAGCGGTAGCTGCCCACAGTGTTGATGCAGATGTGTGCACATAGGGTCTGGTTGCTGGTGGCGCACTCATCAATATCTGGATTGAACCCAATGCAGAGACAGAGAACACTCAGTTTCACAGAAGTCACTTCAGATCCAACAGTTGACATTAGGCTTGGCCCCTCTGCTAATATCTGCAAAGGACACTGTCAGATCTTGATCAGAGAAACCTGGAATAGGCAGGTGCGGGAAACATAAGCCATGACGGCATCAGTGTCAAGGCCATGGGTCTGTCATTAAAAACAAGGTGGATGGTATCCCTGGCTCTCCTGTGGCTTGCTGTAGGCTTTGCTAGCCTTCAGAGAGCTCACTTGGAAAAACATGACACAGGATGCCCCGAGGACTTCCCAGGGTTCCTCTCAGGAGACAAGGAGGCCATCAGTTGATAGACAATTTGAGAAGCAGACCTTAAATTGGTGACTTTTTCCAAGTAGCTTGCTGTGCTGAGGCTTAACCCTTATAGCTGAAGATTACAAACACCATGATGGTGACCCAACAGTCACTTAGGAATAGCTTCTTCCTAGTGAAGACATATAGTAGTGCTTGTGAATGGGTACTCCTAACAAAAGAAAAACAGTCATGATAGACCTAAGGGAAAAAGGTTTTCTCAGACAGACCCCTTATGGCCTGTGGAAATGAGGCATAAGATCATCAAACAAGTAAGCAGTGAAAGTCTGTGTTAACTGTGCACATCACAGACTTGGTCCCCTGCTATATGGGGTCAAAACAAAAGTGGGGCCTGAGTTCATTTCCTGTTCACTGGCTGAAAATGCCAAGTGCAGTGAATAGGAACCAGGACACACAGCCCTAGATGTGCGCATGTGGTGGGGAGACAGGGCATGGCCCTAAACTTTCTGATGCCAATGTCTTCCCAGCCACTCCCCAGACAACCTGCCAAGGACCCAGCCCTGGCAGGCTCTGAGTATGCTAAGGAGAGTGTGGTCACTTGAGTGCTCCCCTAGCGGTCTATTCTGTACCACCATAGCCTGGAGGTCCCCTGGCTCCATCTTCTGTACTCCCTCAGGCTGTCTCCAGGCGTCCCTGACCTAAATAAACTGTCCCATGAAGCTGCCAGAGAAGACATTTTTCTAAACATAATGCAAGTTCTGCTTCTCCCCAAACCTCAAAATGGCAAAAATGTAGCCTAGTAGCTACCATAACTCAACTATGAGCCCCTGTGCCTCAAACTGAGCTCATCTTCTCTACAGAAGGAGCTGAGATCTTCTTTCCATTGCTTGACAGTCTCATTTCCATCAGTGTGGGGTGTCACTCCCAGATACTGCTGGGGGGAAATCAGAGGACTAACGATTAAGCCTTCTATTAAATGGCTTTCCCTGAGCTCATACTGGGGCAGAGGAAGAAGGCTGCTCATTACCACTAGTTTCTCATCTGGATCCATCTCAGTTAATCATCCAGAACTCATCTGAGCACATGCGTAGCCATTTGTAAGAATGCATATTCCTAAGCCCACCTTCAGAGCTAGTGAGGCCAGGAGGGAGTCTAGGATTTTTAAACATTTTTTTTTTTAAAGCAAGGACTCAATTTGCTTCTGATAAAGATTAGCCAAGACCTGACCCCAGAAACATGATTTCTGGGGACAATAAGCCTAAACCTGCTTGAGAAACACAGCAAGTGCACAGTGGGAAAGACCAGGCAATGAGGCCAAAGGCGGCAAGCTGGTGGCACTGATGGTGGCTGGGTTGTTTTCTCAGCTGCAGCCCAGGTGGCTGGCTTCAGCGCTCCCTGAATTGTTTCCAACCTGCCTGCCACATGGGGAATCTTCCGTTTTCCCAGTCGTCTTCTGAGAATGCTTAGTCTCCTTTCGCCCTCTGTGTTTGGATGTCTGATCATTATATTCTGTTTTACACTATTCTGGTTTACATTTTGCAATGCTCCTCTTTTCCAGCTGTTGCACCTCACTCCCAGTTAAGATTTTCAGCTCCCTAAATAATTCCTTGGATATAGTCTGACACCTATGGATAAAAGGCAGTGGGTGACCTATATGTAAGATAAGGCCAAACACAATTCCATGTAATAAACATGAGAATGCAAAGGGAGGAATCAAACAGGAGAGTCCCTCCATTGAGTGACTCCTCCATGGAGAAGGTCCAACAAAGAACAGAGCTATCTGGATAAAGTTTATCCATGGGAGCTGGAAAATAATGTGCATTGCCAACACACCCAGGCAGTAGGGCTTCTCTCGCTTCCGGTGTCTGTCCCGGTCATATCGGTAGCCTGGGTAACAAGTACACAGCACTCGGCCGAAGTTATCTGTGCACTGCTGTTCACAGGGAGCTTCGGCACAGACATCATAATCTGCAAAAGAAAAGTGTGAACTCACATCAACCAGAGGCGGAATCAATTAACTCCATCCTGGTCTGGAACCGACTGTCTGAGCTGTACCCTGCTCAAGGTCAAGTATGAAGTGTGAACAACGCCATTCAGAAAAGCATTAACTCTTTCAAGCCCTGGGGCAGCCACTTCAACTTCTGTAACAGTTACTTGACCTATAGTGTCTGGGTGGTTAAAGCAAATACCACTGGTATTTTTATTTCTTAGGTCACCTCATTGCCCTTTGGCTTTTGTCACTGTCCAGAGAACAAAAATGCTTCACCCAGTATTCCCTGGTGACCTATTTTGTCTTTTGCTATATGATATAGAGTTCCTTCCAGCAGGAGAAAGGTCATCTCTGATAATACTAGTGTAAAAATATGAGAGCAAGGGCTAGAGGTCAGGCAGTATCAGAGAGTATGAGGGAGGCTTTGGAACACGAAGGTGAGAGAGTTAGTAGAGAGAGATGGGGCTCCTACGAGTAGTATAATAGGTTTGCAAGGGTGTGTGTGTGTGTGTGAGGGGGAGGTCAGGAATGCTGAAAAGGGGCTGAGTAAGTTAACATGACTAGAGATCTCATGCTAGCCCAAAGTCTGTGCAAATTTGGGTGGGTGCTTCAATACTTGTAAAGAATTAGGGAATCTGCTCTTTTTGGTTTCTATGAACTAATGTTTAATGAGCCTCTGCAGAGACTTTGGCTCTAAGTCAAGAGCTCAGGCTGAACATTTGCTCCCAGACCAGACCCAGCATCTCATTAATCACTGCATTATCTCCCTAGGTGTGGACAGATAAACTCTACTTGGATGCAGAGGAAGCCTGGCTCTATTGTGCAGCATATGAAGGTAAACAGGTGTTCTGTCAGGCACTGATGCAGGCCAGGTCACTATGACAGGATCACGCCACTCGCACCATGACCTAAAAAGCTGCCTTTGCGTAATAGCCTTTCCCACAAGCATGATTTCAGGTCTGCTTTGCCTCTATGGGTTCTGATCAGCCCTACAGACTGTCTCTGGTTAGATATGTTATCCTTAACTAAGTATCTGCTCTAGGCAACCAACTTGTGTGCTCCTTTAGTTAAGAGCAAGGGCTCGGCACGGCCAACAAAGAGCTACCTTGTTCTGCTTTCACCATCACTGAACAGCAGCCAGGGAAAGAGGAAAAGGGCAGAGAGGCTAAGCACCTGCACTGATAGTGGTCCCAGCAAGTGTTGCTTCGAAAAGCTGCAGTTCCCAATCTCCCTGCCATCCCCGCTTCCCTGGCTTCCTCTTTTAACTCTCTTACTGACTCTTTCACACTCACCTTCACATCTCGAAACAGTCACTTGCACTGCTTTTTAATCTAACCACTTGTCCTTTCTTAGAGACCTTTTGGCATTACGTTGTATATTTTTTTGGGTGCCAGTTACTGAACTTTGTCTATTAGCTTCAAACTTGCGTGGCTTACTTTGCTCAGTTACTTTAGGACACAAGACTTTGGCAACTGTATTTCTTCATTTCATTTGCCAGTCCCCCTGCTGATAACAAGGGATGTAGGGCTTTCTAGTAATGTATGATGTCCCTCGGCTGTCACTGCAGTGTATTCATGGAATATTAAGAGCAGTTTAGTAGAAGCTCTTCATATATAGCTCTACTGTAAGTGAGCTGGCTGGTATGTTCCAATGTCAGCTTAAGACATTTTCCTGGGCTGTTTAGTGTGTCCAGAGACACGTCCAAATCCCTGTTTGAGAAAGTCAGTCATTCAGGAACTCAAGGAAGGGGAGAAGGCTGAGTGTTTGGACATTCAGTGTACAAGCATTTACTGAACGCTTCCGTTTTCAGCGTGAGACCCTTACTTTCACCCCTGAGAGTCCTCAATCCCAAGAGCCTCTGGTTTACCCCTCAGAAGACTGAATCTTCTGCCTGACTGTGGCTGTGGCAAAATCCTGGCTATATACAGGACAAGATCTGAGAGTACAAGTTCTTCTTAGACTTTAAGTCAAGCCTTCTGTTTTGACACCGTTTTCACCCCCGTTTCTGTTTTTCTTGGCTTTTTGATTTGGTCTGAACTCTGCAGCCTCTTGATTCTCACTTGCACTAGCCAAGGGCTTACTTTTCCCTTTCTGCTAAGTATTCACTACCTCCCCATCTGTTTTTCAACTTCCAAGGTTTTGTTGCTTTTATTTCTTCTTCTTTTCTTTATGACTTTGTGGTAAATCCTGTTAAATTTTTTTCCCTATTCTGTGTAGTTTCTGAAAGAAGCAGTTAATGAATTTATTCAACCCTCTATTTTTGATCCTGTTTTTTCTAAGGGGCTATCAAATTTCTGACCACATAGCTTTTTTCTTTGAAATGTATCTATTTTTTATGCTTTGTGTCCTATTTCTTTTGGCACCGTTCTAACTCAGATCTTCAGACTCTTTCATCTACACAGGATTCTCATCCCTTTAGGAGTTCTACATAACACTTCTGACTACTCTTCCTAATGCAAGGTGCTATGTATGTCGTTCCTTGCTCCAAAACTCTAAGCTCAATATGGGTCACATATCCCTAATCTGAAAACATGAAATCTGAAACTCTTTAAACATTTCAGATTTTCAGATTAGGGATGCTTAACTATTAAGTTCTACACAAATATTCCAAATTCCTAGAACTATAAAACACATCTGGTTCCAAGCACTTTACATGAGGGCTACAGAACTTGTACAAAACAACACTAGCCCGCAATGTCCATGCCCGCATATGAGGTCTGGTATTATATTCTTTGAGATTTTTCTATCCTCTGGCTCCTTTGACTCCAGAAACCTAACCTTTCTTCTTCACCCTTGATCAAAACCACCTTTTCTTATCTCCATGCTTCTGTCTATTGTTTTCATCTCTAACAATGTCCAATCAAAACTTCTGTCTGTACCCTCATACTTTATAATTACTGGTTTTCTAACCAGCATTTCAAGTGCCACTGTACATGTCCCCCAGCCCCACTAGGAAGCTTCCTTGATCTTCTCAGTAAAGCCTACTTTGTCCTCTCCACCTTCACGGGACTTCATATCCTTTTTAACTCACGTGCTCTGCTGTACTTAAGGAATGCCCACCCTCCCAGTCTGCTGCTATTGCGTAAAGACCATCAGGGTCTTTACGCCTCTATTTTCCTACCTGTAAAATACTGACAAAAGTAAAACCTGCCTTCACAGTGTTTTTACAACAATGAAATCAAGCTGGAAACAATTTCAAATTTAAAGTTTTCAAATTTAAAATTTAGACACAGGGTCTTGCTAAGGCGTTTATGTTTCTGTTCTGTTGCTGCTAGTTCTTAACATTATTCAACTATGTGGTAGGTACCACATCCCCCAAAGTAACCAGCACCATGCCCTTCCTACTATTTATGTTCAATTCATTACTGCTGGGCTGGAAGAAACTGGATTACCCTATCACCTGGCCTATTAAGATATCACTTACAGCAGGAATTGGAACTTTTCTGGAAAAAGAGGCAGATCACATCTCAGCTTTGTGGCCTCTGTTGCAGCTACTAAACTCCACTGCTGTCATCTAAAGAAGCCAAAGACAGCACTTCAGTGTGTCAGTATGGCTGCACTGCAATAACACTTCCTTTCCAGAATTCCATGGTAGGCCAGATGTAACCCACGGGCTACAGCTCACTACCCATGGTTCAGGGTAACAAACGTGAGGAAGTAACACTTAAAAACTCCAACTCTCAATTGTAAGTTAGTATCCATCTGTTTAGAAACTGTCCTTTCTGTTTGCTATCTGTGACTGTAATTCTATGAGTCAATATGGTTGGGCCTCAGGACCCACACATTTGGTTTGGAGCATGGTTCACCAGGAAGATGGATATGCTGTTATATCAGCGTCCAATATATGGTTTAGTCTCTCCCATAACCCATAATCAGGATTCACAGGACCAGGAATCACAGGACAAAAATGGCAGTGGCATGATTATTATATTATTCTTAGTGATTCACTAGCTAAGTGTTTGCTTTCGGTTTTTGTGACTCTACATATAGTTAGAAAAGGAGCAATACTTCTACCAGGAGATCAGTAATGATTCACTGAACAACTCCCGAGCCTCTAGGCTCCTCGTGCCTCTACATCACCCAAAAAATGGCGGTCACTGTGGACAGTGATTGTATTCAACCAACAAGAGGAAACTATTGTTATTCTACAACAGAGGTAAAGATAAGTGTCTGTGGAATATGGAATACAAGGAACACTGTAGAGTGTCTTTGTGTTATGTCTCCTGAAACTAAAGTCAGTAAAAAATTACAATAAAATCCTGTCTTAGGCAGGGCTAATGGCTCAGAAAAGTTTGGGTTATCTCATCAGGAAAAAAAAACTGTGACCAGGTGGGGTACACTGAGGGCAAAGGGAATAGGAATGCGTAATAGAAAAGGTGGTTATAAATAACAGCAATGATCATATGGCCAGTTGTAGAAAAAAAACTTGTTATTGTCATGAGTATTATTTTATGAGTATGTTTGCATGTGTATAAATATCCTGTTTTCCCTTACATCAGAAGATGCATTAACTTTATATAAATACCATCTTTTTTTTTTGTCTTTTTAATTTTTATCGGTACCAGGGATCGAACTCACGATTGCCTGCTTGCAAGGCAGGCACTTATGCCGCTGAACTAAATCCCCAGCCCCCATACCATCAGTTTTAACACAGTATTTAAGTTATAACATATTAAGGACAAAAAACAAACATTACGTTGCATTCTCTTCTAAGGAAAGGTTTAGTGTATTTTTCCACAGGGTATTTCTATCATGCTAGGTGGAGGTATGACCTCATTACTCTTAAGAGCAAGTAAAACTCAAGATATGTACAGACACCATATTGACAAATATCTGTGATAGTTTGTTTGTTTATTTATTTATTTGTCTTTTGCTACTGGGGATCAAACTCACAACCTTGCACTTGCCAGGCAGGCACTTATGCCACTGAGATAAATCCTTGGCCCCTGTGATGGCTAACTTTACCAATCGACTTGGCTAGGTCAAGGTTCCCAGATATTTGCCCACACATCAGTCTAGATGTTTCTGTGTAGGACTGATTGACTGATTGATTTACTGATTATGGTACTGGGAATTGAATCCAGTGTTTTTACACTGAGCCTTTTCAATTTTTCTTTTTTTTTTGTACCAGAGATTGAGCTTACAAACTTGCACTTACCAGGCAAGTGCTTGAGCCACTGAGCTAAATTCCCTGCCCTTCTTTTTAAAAATTTGAGACAGGGATCTTGCTAAGTCATTACATTGCCCAGGCCTAGCTTAAAAGTTTGAGATATTTCTGCCTTAGCATCCCAGAATGCTGGGATTATAGGCACATATCAGCACGCCTGACTGTGTGGGTATTTTTAAAGTGAGATTAACATTTAAATCAGTAGATATTTGGTAAAGTATATTGATCACCCTAAATGAGACCTCATCCCATCAGTTGAAGACTTGAAAGAAAAAAGACTGATCTCCTTTGATAAAGAAGGAATTCTGTCAGGAGACTGCTGCTGGATTTTAACAGCAACACTTACTATTCTGTGTCTAGACTACCATCTTAGTCTGGATTTGAACCTCTAGAATCCATAAACCAATCCCCTAAATCTAGAAATCTATGTGTGATGTGTATGTTTCTCTACACACATGTGCTTTTGTTTCTCAAGAAACATAATATACAATCTTTTCTGAAAACCTTGCATTAGTATTTTGCAATCTTAGTGGCAGAAAACTTTCTCACTGAAGACAGCTTTAGTATTAGGAATGAATAACACTGATTTTATTCCCACCTGTAAAAGCAAATCACTTTTAGAAAGTATTCTTTTGAAAAGCAACAGAGCAAAGAGTTATATAAAGCAATGTCCTGCATTTGAGTGTACTTTTCCTGGAAATATTCAGTTCTTGGTTATATCATAGGTTCTATGGTCTCACTTTAAGATGAGAGAGGGTAGTATTAGGTCTGGAGAGGTTTGAAACCACAATATCTTACAGTGGCAGACACTCTGAATATGTGACATTGTATACAATGTATTTTTAATCAGGTTGGGCGTGGTCTTTGGTCTTAAACTGACTGGCCTAGACTTTTCAAGTTCAGCACATGGAAAATAGGTAGAGGAGTCAGAGAGGAAGGATGGGTTATAATTGTACAAAATGCTAATTAAGGAATTATTGCCTACTAAGTATAAAAACTGAAATATAAGAATGATTCAATGTGAGTATAGTGTGTAATGATTTAGACAGAGTATATAATATATAACCAAATAAACATCCAAAAATTTAAAGCCAAAATAGAGAATTATACACAAACACAATCAAATATAAACAATGCACACATACTCAGACTTTACAGAGTTCTAGTGGCTAATTGCAAATGACGTGGAATGGGATCATCTTTCACATTACATACCTTCTGGGATGCACTGTCCAAGAACAAACTTATACCCTTTGCAGCACTTTTTCCTAAAACACAAACAAAAAGGCATTTTAGACACAGTACTGGATTAAATATAGAATTATTTTCAGTGATCGCTTTAGAATGAAATCACCCATTCTCAGGAAAATTCAGGCAATAAGTAGGATGGAACATTTTAAAGGCAATCCGAGATTACAGGGAAAAACACTATCAAAGCCATATGTCTACACCTTCTCATACCAGGATTTGCTACATAATATATAAAAATCAATCCTTTAGGTCTTACAAGGTAACTTATGGATCTTTCTCACTGGAACAAACACTCCCTCTGTCTCTCCGTGTCTACTGCTTCTACTACTTTTCCTTCCCTTCTCTCACAGATGATTCACATAAGCTTTCCTTTACCACTTCCAGTAACATGCATCAAAGGCAGAGAATTAATCTGGATTCAGTGAATCAGGAGCTCTATAGAACATACTCGAAAATATTTCAAGTTGACTATAGCAGTATACTATCATTACAAAGACCTTTTGTTTAAAAAAATAAAATAAATTAGATTCCTATTAGAGTGTCACTGTTATATGTGTTTGGGTACCTTTCCTAAGTGGATAAATTAAACGCATTTAGCCGCCAGCAGGTCAAATATCTGCAGCCTATCAGGCCACCCATGGGGACCTGTCATTTGTACACTGTAATGCTGAAAGGTCCACAAACTCTTGATCTCAGAAGTGAGACACTGCATGAGTCCTAAAGTAAGCCCCTACATTCTTCAAATGATCACAAGCACTAGATACAGTGACACATGCCAGTAATCCCCGCTACTCTAGAATTCCATCTCCACTAGTGCACAAACCACCACCACCAAGACCAACTGGAACTCTCAGCCAGGTTGAAGAAGGCCTTCTGTCTAAGAAAGAAATTTCACATGCTTATTATTTTTGTCACATTTTAAATAAAATGTGTAGGAAATAATGTATGATTTATTTCTGCTTTTGCAAATTGGGATAATCTTAATTACATTATTGGCCAAATGAATTTGTGTGGCTTGTCTGCTCGATGAATTATCATTTATAGGAGAAACTTAAGCAACCTCTTCTTAAAACATAAAAAAATTATAAAAAGTTAAATTCTAAACCTACAAATGGTACAAAAGATGTCCTAAGTAGTCACACATTTCATAACAATCACATTTATAAGAGAATTCTGAAGCCAAGTTAAAGTAATATTGTTTTGTTTTTTTAGCAACAGTGCTCACACATAGCCCAGTTGTGGAAGATATCTCACTCCAAAAGTGTCGAAGTGGATTTTTGTTACAAAAACAGTGGCATTTGGGACTCCCAAAAGAGATTTGGATGAATTAGCTAAGGTTCTCCCTCTATCCCCCATTTTCCTGTCTGTACTTATTCTCACAATATAGATTAATGTATTAATCCATGCAATTTACTGATATGAATGACATGTGGCAGTGCCAGAGTTTCCTTATTAGAAATAACTTCCCAAACTCTTTAACTAAAATATAATCTCACATGCTACAGGAAGTCTATGAAGATATAAATTTGCAATGGTGATGATGATTTGGAACAGAAGCAAAGGATCTACCTTTACAGTCTATGGAACTTAAAGTTGGCCTTGTTTTCCAAGGTTAAAAAAAATCCATGCTAACAAAAGGAAAAGTGTCTTTGTAGAGTACCCATTAAAATTTTATGGTTATTACCTACTTCATTACTTGAGGCTGTACTACAGAAAACTGTATGAGGAATAGCTGTGCACTAGATAATTTGAAATCCAAATAGAGTCATGAGAAATTTGGACAGAGGGAAAAAACATATGTTTTTGATACTCAAGTCTAACACCACATTTAAACATGTGGTTCTGTTTGTCTGTTTCTATTTAAATTCTGCTGCTAAGGTATAGACTCCAAGATATTCCAAAGCATTTTTAAAAATGGATATGATCCCTGCAATCTATCCACATTCAAAATGTAAAACTGGGGCACCTTGATCTTTTTGAGCATTTCAAGGACTTGTGACCATCCATACAGTGGAGGTGGAAACAACCCGTCATATGCTTTTTTATAAAATTAAATGATAATGATGTGGTTTGATACACTTTCAAAAAGCTTCCTTCCCTATCAGGAAAAGAGCTGAGCTTCGGGATGGGCATGCCCTATTTAAATACCTGCTCAGCTACAAATTAACCTCTCCTTTGGGTTTTTTTTCTTAATTGTGTAACTGATTCCAGCTCTCTGCTCCAGGGGAATGGTGCTGAGACTCCAGGGCATCAGGCTACTTTCCCTAGAGGTCCTGGGAACACATCATTATTTTGCACATTAAACGCTCACCAATCATAATTCTCCATTTAAAATAAATAATGATATATTTCAAAATAAACACTGGTTGCATGTGTTACAACATTTCAAAGATTACTTACAACATAATTTACGTATACGCAGTTGAGATAGCCAAATGAAAGCTTGTCATGCAAGCCAGGGCACTTGTTAGGCTAACTGCAAACACTGCTGTGCAGTTTTTATCTTTAAGAAAAACAAACTAAGATGAGGAAAGTTCATAGGGACTCTAGGGCAGCGGTCACTCTTAATACACTTCACGTGTTACAGCTTGGCTTTCCAAATGCAAACACTTTTCTCATTTTTTGGCCAGGGGAAGTGGTGATCAGATGGTTTTACATAGAAATGGCTGTGTCTGGTAATCAAGCAAGCCTGTGTGTCCCTGAGAATGATTCCCCTGGGGGCCCCTGCGAATGATTCCATGTAAAAATCTCATAACAGTGTAGCAGGGATACATCCTATTCGTCAGGTGTGTAAGAGCTTTTGAAGGAAAAAAACTAAATCAAGAAAGTGAAGATAACAGCAGGGGCAGACTATTCAGAACAGTGGTGGCCAAACTATGGGATGTGTGCCACCTCGGGTTGTTCATTAGCGTTGAAAGCTGTAAAAGGTTTGCCATCACTGGTTTAGAGTCTGCAAAAGAGTTTTTTTTTTTAAATCGGCCTATAGAGTTTGGGACTTAAAAAGTACCTTAAAAAGTCAAGTACTATTTAAATTCTTGATGCAAATAAAAGATTTTCCTAAGATCTGCTTGGGGTTTCTCTTGCATAAGTGCCTTCTCATGCACCAGATATGTAGGATTTGTTTTTGGATGAAAGAACTGCATTTTGCAGAGTATTTTATAGGATCTGGAATCAAGTTATGTGTGTAAGTAGTAGATAGAGCACTGGTTCGGGTCGAGAATACCTGGCTTATAATTTTGACTCTGCGATTTAGCAGTGTGATTTCAGGCTTGCTGCTTAAACTTGCTGAGTTCCAGATTCCATGGATAAAGTATAGAGAAAAAATCTGCCTTATAGGATCATTGGAAGGATTACAGATAATATAATGAAAGTGATTAGTGTAGGAATGATTTGAGATCAGAACAGTGTTTCAGCTGCAGCTTTATGAACACAGCAATCAAACAGCAAAGGCAATTCTTACTGGTTGCTTTCACTCATCTCTTTCCTTCCCTTCAATGACAGACATCTCTCCCTCCAAAAACAAATGAGGAGGAGAAAGGAAAGAAGCTTCTGACTACAATATGGCAGAGAAGTAATACTTTTATCCTTTCTTCTTTCACACATTAATCCCAAATGATGAGAACAAGAAATAAACTTGTAAGGCTCATATTGCATGATTTAGGAGGCATGTTTAACCCTAAAAAAAGGACACAGTGGTACTTTGGTTCATGGACTCAACTTTCTCCATGATTCTGGTTGCAAACCAACCAAGATGACAATCGAATCAAATGTTCCCATAAGGTGAACATTGAACCTAACCACTGAATTTGATTTGGTTCTCATCCAACTCAGTTTATGACCAAAATCATGGAAAGAATCAAGTTTGTGAACCAAACCACTTATATGAACATGACAAGTGAATGGGAAGATGGGAAGGATTTTTCAGAGTGATATAATGCAAGCTTAGGTGCCTTCAGAGGCACCCTCTATGGAGAAACCAGCCAGCCCAACCTGCAGAACCTCAGCAGGCCTTAGAAATTGGAGGCACCAGCTACTGAGGACAGAGGAGGCTGAAAGGTGACCTGCAAGTCTTCCAGTGTCCAACTCCAAGCAGTCAGCTGGATTTTCTTTGCCTGCTATTGCTAGAGGTATCTTCATGTGAAGGAAACTTGTATCCCAGAGGTTCAAGGCTCTGGGACAAGTTAGAGAACTGAGTGGAACCTACTCACCAGTAAATAATCCTATCCAGGCACAAAATAGTCTAAACATTGTCCAAGAGTCCATTTGATTCACTCCAGAACATTAAGAGCCTCCTAAACAGCTTTTAATGGCAATTTAGAGGGTGGCTCTCCCACAGCTGCTCAGTCCTAAATCAGCACAAAAAACTTAAAACTAGAAGAACCCAATTTCATCATTTATGTTCATCACTTGCACCACGCTACAGTGAGCCTGAGAAGGGAGTCCCTAAGCAACTTCTGCCAGGAAGTAGTACATATTATCCCGCAGGGCCGATTTAAAGGGCCAAGAGTTTAATTTCTTTGTAAGTTTTCCTAGTGTGAGGAATCTTTCCCCTCTTCCTTTTAATGTTTTTCCCTTGCTGAAATCTTTACAGAGCTCTGGAAGACTTCATGTGAACTACTATAACTCCTTTAATTCTGAGCCATGAGAACGCAATTGAACACAGTAACTCACTGCCCATCTGGGGCCACTGCTGGAGCCTTTAACAGGAAGAAGTACTCCTCCCAGGCAAATGTGGCAGGACATTTCACACCACTATTATTAAGGGTAAGCATAAAATACGCCCCTCATCTATTTATTCATCCACGTGTAAATCTGTTATAATCAAATCTTGCTGATATCCTTAAGAGAAACCATAAGCATATTAAATATAACTTGCTATTATATGCACAATTATTGGTAGCATGATCAAATGAGGAAAACAGTATAGGGTTCCCATGAAAATTGTATGATTCAGCCATTCGATTTCTGAATATGTATTCAGAAGAACTGAGTGCAAGTAGATATTTTCATATCAATG